TTTTTTTTTGCAGTGTTAATATTGGTTAAGTGTTTGTTAATTTTGTTTTTATTCTTTCAATTGCTTTCATTTCTTTACATTTTCGTTGTTTTCGATTTCTTCTAGATTTGTTTATAAAATACAATGTTTGAATCTTTTTTGATAATTATTCGTATGTATGGGTTTTAGGTATGAAAAAAAAAATTTATGTATAGAGTTTGACTTTTGTTAGTAAACTTCTTTTCTTGAATAAATCTTCATATGTACGTATGTGCAATTGCAGACAATGAAAAGATTCCTTTGCTTTAAATTGAAATCGAAAAAAACCATTAAATTGTACTTCTCCAACGTTTTTTCGCTTGTATTTAATTATAATTGCATAATTTGCTTAATGAAAGCAAAGTAAAGAAAATAAACCACAAATATCACCTTTTTTCAGAAAATACAAAGCAAAATAATCCACAAAAAAACTCCTCGTCTCATGTTTAAATTTGTCTAACTTAACTGATACGGGCAGGTTGGCTGCCAATTTGGCTAATATATTAATGTTAATATCTCTTTACAATAATTCTCTTTCTTTTTAAATATTTTAATATTAACAATTTATTCTTCATGTATATTATTTCGCAAAAGCTATCGTAATAAGAAGTTCACGTATTCTTTATACAAAATTTCCATAATTTTATGTTATTTACATAGATATATTTTTGTTTTATTTATTTTTATTTTTTTGCTTTCGTACGCATTCCGTCAAAGATATTTAAAGTAATATATTCATACACGAATGCGATGCGCTTTGCTTGGTACATTCAACCGACACACTCAACTCTTATCACAATAATTAGTCATTCTCTGCTTTGGAAATTTTTGTTCAATCAATTTACTAGCCACTCCTGTTCTTTCCAAAACCTCATTTTCTGAAATTGTTGAAACTTTATTTTTAACTCTATAACAGAGTTGGTCAAGCCTTTTATTTTAAACTCGATTTTTTTTTTATTAATCTTTTCTCTAAGGATATATACTTTTTTCTTACGATTTTCTCAAAAAAAAGGTTTTCATTCCATTTAAGTTCTAAGAAACTATTCATGACGAAAGCCCCGAAATGTTAATTTCATTGCTTTTATTTGAAAGCTATGGTTTCTTTTTATACTTGGAGCAGGTTTTTGTTTCATTTTCGTTTTTTTTTTTAATTTTTTTTTTTTTGACGTTCTTTCCTTTTTAAAATTATGCGAGAACAGCACCTTTCCCGTAAACGATCACAGCAGTAAACTTTTGCTTCACTCCTCTAAACTCAACTGACCATATTATTCGCATGATTTTTCTCTTTTCCTTTTTTTTTTTCCTCACATGATCATTTGTGCTTATACATTTTTGTACCTAAGTGTTTATCCCTGTGTATATGTTTTGCATGGCCTAACGGCGTTTATTCATTTAAATACATTGTTATGTGTGTTTTTGCAACAGTTGTGTACTGTTTATATTACGTATATTTTGTACTACCTTCGTGTGAAGTTTAGCAGTTAACGGTTCCTTACCTTACGTCAGGGCCAGAGGGGGATGATCCAGGGCGTTTTTCGCCCGGACGGAGGGACTGGACTGAAAGTTACTAGGGACTACGGGTAGACATTTAACCGGTTATTAGTAAGAAAGCAAAACGCTTACTTACACATTGCAACCATGTATAAGCTTGGCAACTAACACGTTAACAACACAATATTATTTTAAATAAAAAATTAGATGTTAAGCATAGTTCTTTAAGTGACTTTAAAGAGTCCGATAATGAAAATAAGTGATAGACATCATTCAGGTTTCCGCAAACAACTCTAAGCGGGTTAAACAGCTCATGCCTACAAAATTGCCTACATGTGAGAATAAGCGTTCTTATTCTTAATAATTTATTTAAAAATTGCCTACATCTGATAATATGCGTTCTTATTCTCAATAATTTGTTTAAAAATTGTCTACATCTGAGAATAAACGTACATGTTTGTTTACAGTTGTATTTACATTGACTAAACTATCTGAAGACCAAAAGACCCAGCGACTATTAAAATTAGGAATTGCAAACCAAACATAAAATTTTTATTTTTCTTTATCTTTTTGAAAATTACTCTAAAAGACATATTCTGATTCTTTTGTTTATAAAATTTATACCGGTCATTATTTATTAAACATACATTTCGTTAACAGCTGCTGCTTGAACTTCGAATTTTGTTAATTCAGAGAGTAAGTGAAAGAGTTTTCTAGCTAACATAGTATGTTTTGTATTTAACCTTTTTAGTTTATTTCAATTTTTTGTTCTTTTAAGTTGTCGACTCTGGCCGCTCCGAATGTGATGAAGCTTATGCGACCACTTGTTAGCATGTAAATATTGGAAATATTTATTTTCGTTTCTCCCATCAAAGGTATTAGAAATATTCCTCTCAGAAATAAAAGGATTAAAATATCCAATAAATTGTTATACATTTATATTAGGCTTTATATTACTTGATTTTTAGCAGGTAAACTTTTGACAGCAGATGCAGATATGGAAGAATAAATTTTGCCGAATAAATGACCTCCTGGCACGGTTTTCCACGCCACCTTTAAGGTACTGTGGTGGGGCTTTGCCATTGTTTGGTAGTAGGAAATATGCATAAGGAAGAAGACCCACAAAGAACTATTCCAGTCTGCGCTAGCATTTCGAACAAAATTCAGTTTAACAAATGCGATACAATTCTACCGTAAAACAATATAAACTTTGTCGTACACACCTTAAGTCGCATGCGATCACATTGTCGGAAGTTCTTTATTCAGAAGCCACGCCACATTGTAAAAAATAAATTGTTTACTTGCTTAAAAGTAGTGGTGTTACTTTTCGGAATTTATATTGAGGCTGACACAATCACACGTAATTACTCTTTTCGAATTGGAACTCCAACTTTGCCAATTTCTTGCAAAACTGGAAACAACTTTGCTCAGTACGCGCGATATGCCTATTCAAAGTAACTTGCAATCTTAACATCTCATTATGGTTCGAAATTTATTGTACCGGTTGCACGTTTTTATTGGCTTAGAGGTTCACTTGCAATTTGATGCTGTACTGGTTGTGGATGTGACTCTTTGCTAGCTGTGTACATTCTTTTATTTTTTTTTATTTATTTATACATGAATCATTACTTTGTTGCCTTTTTTTTCTTTGCTTCTCCTTATGCACTTCATACTAGTTTTTCATATTAATTAGCATACGATTACTTCTAAGGGTCTAATAAATTCGGCTGTTAATTTATTTTAATTGAGTTCCTTGTGTAAGTATATTTACTATATTTACAGTACATTATCTTTTTCATACCAAAATAAATAATGGCATTGAATAAAAAATAATGGATACTATAACAATAGTGAAAATATTAGATCACAATTTTATAGATAGAATTTTGAATTCTAATATTATGCAGTTTGTTTACATTTCGAAATATCCGTCAATTTGTTAGCTCAAAATTTATTACGACGTAAGGTAAAATAATAAAATTTTATGTTAAGAAATTTCTTTAAAATTCGTATAAGCGGTATATCTGTTAACGAGGAATAAGTATTCAACGAGCATTTCACTATAACAGAGAATCTGATAGGAAATGTGAAGAAATTATCGAAATTCGGCGGTAACCGTCTACGCCTATGTGGAGCGTCAACACAATGTTTGCATTAAGCGTTGCGCCTGACTCTCCATCTATTAGTTATTACATAGCTTGCGTACGTTACTACAGCAAAAACTAACGGCGTTAGTCAAATATTGATGCAGTGCAAAATTAATAAGATAAGAAATTTCTTTGATATATAATTTTTGCAATTTATTTACTCTATTTTAGCTTTTAATTTTATTAATGCAGTTTAATTTAATATTGATGCAGTGCATAATTAATAAGATAAGAAATTTCTTTGATATATCATTTTTGCAATTTATTTACTCTATTTTAACTTTTAATTTTATTTAATTTTTTCCGCCCTTCTGAGTATTTTTCATATCGTATAAAACTATATGAATTTGTTTTGTTTTTATAAACATGTAAGTATGTGTATTATATGTTATATAGTAATTGTCAAAAATCACGCTCGCTCAAATTTTAAGAGTTTGTCAACAACGACAAACGCGTCCTCTTATATACACAAATGACAATAAACACCAACCAATTCAATTTGGAAATTTCAAAACAAAACGCATACAAATCCCAAACACTCATCATCTCTTTAAAAGGCTCTTCTTGTGCGTCCTTCATTGAAAGTGCCCAATACCACCGTGTTATGCGAGAGTCATATTCACCTTAACATATTCTGACAAGCTTTGTTTAAGCTCCGATTGAAATTTAACGTAGTTTCATTAGCAGTATAGGAGAGGATATGAGACTTTCTAGTTAATTAACGACAGACGCAGTAAATATAAAAGGAAAATATAGAGAATTGTTTTATTTTAGAATTAACAAAGATACATTGGGAGAAAAGTTAAAGAGAAAATTGCAGAAGGAAATTTACAATGCCATCATCAACACTACTCTTCCATTAACCCTCAATTAATTTCACCTTTATATCCAACAAACGTTGAGAAAACCAAGATCCAAACATTTTCGAGAATTCGCCTTTGTCATACTATCGCAACTCACCAATGGATCTTGAAAATCTTCCTCCCCAATCTGCGGTTGTGGACAAATTCTAACTATAAAGCACATTCCCTGCGACTGCCTTAAGTTTTCCTTGGCTAGAAGTATTGCATTTGGAGCGACTAATCCTTTGGACATTCTAAAATCAGCTTCAGAACCGAATATAAATTCTATATACTACTTTATTAATACTACTGAGCTCATTATCTAATGTACATTTATTTAAATTAGGGCCGATAGCCTGTGCTGCTCAATGTCTTTTTTTTTTAGTGTAAGAATTTATTTTATTAGTCTAAAATTATAATAATAATAATAATAATAAAATTAACATTCTTTTTCTTTTCAAATTTAATTAATAATATTTGTTTATTTTGACATAGAAAAAATAATAAATAACTTAACCGCATTTTTGATTTTCTAGCGAATACAATCTGTAAATGTGAAACAAACGTTTATTGCATGTCCTAAGATTGATTGTTTCTACTGCAAATGCCCCATTTTTACACAATGTATATTTAGAGAAGTTCTCAACGAAAAAATTTCACCACAAGTTCTACACGTGAGTGGTACTTGATTTTTATGAATTTGCATATGTGTTTTAAGCACTCCTGAGTACTTAAAGGTTTTTCCGCATTCGCTGCATTTGTAAGGACGTAACTCAGAATGAACATGCATATGTGAGCGCAACTTGTCTTTGCGTTTGAATGACTTGCCACATTCTGAGCAAGTGTGCGGCTTTTCATCGCTATGTGTAGTAAGATGATATTTTAAATTTGATGAGTTTCTAAAGGTTTTTTCGCAGAAATTGCATTTAAACGGTTTATCGCCGGTATGAATACGGATGTGTTTGCTCAAAGTTCCTTTTTCAGCAAACGACTGACCGCAAAAAGTGCATAAAAAGATTTGATCCGATTTATTTTTAGTCTTGTGGTCAGTTTTCTTTACCGAATTATCGTTATTGTGTACTTTCTTGATATGTTTTTGAAGATTATCTTTGCTACTGTAGCGTTTGGGACATAAGGCGCAGAACAAATTCCCTTTTAGAACTCTGCGGGGCTTAAAATATTTATCTACCATTTCTGGGCCATGCATATTTTTTAAATGCAGTCTAATCACTGACGGACGACTTGATTTATAACTACACAAAGCGCAGGGAATTTTTTGCTCCTCTGGCATATGAGCATAAGTTTTGTGCTTTTTCAAAGCTATTGAATTATCATAGACTTTATCGCACATGTCACACCGTATGGCTAAAGATGCTTGCGGCAATTTAATATCTTTTACATCATCTTCTGTTTCTGACAATGCATCACTGGTATCATTGCATTCATTTTTTAAGCGAAAGTCACTGAAAGCAATTTTTTAATAACGCACAATTTAAATTCTTCTTATAAATCTACCTTAGCGTCTGCTGATCTGTATTGCAGTGGTTATTGTGGTTTAAATTAGACGTTATGAAGGCATCCGCCTGTATGCTTCTACGCTTTGTTAAAGGTAACGCTTCCTCCGATAATTGTGGTTCTGTTTTAATTTGCACTTCTATTAACTCTAACAAATTATGTGACGACTCAGTTATGTCAGGATCTGCCTTTATTTGCATTCCCTTTTGCTGAGGCAGGTCAATAGGTATTTCTTGTAAACAATTTTGAGCTGTAATACCACACAGATATTGCATTAATTCCTCATGTCGCTTCTCTGCTTCTCCAATAAATATGTACACTTTCTTGAGTAAACTGGCGCACTTTTTGCAAAGTTTCTGAGGGAATTGATCTTCGATACTGGGTGCATACTAAGCAAAAAACCACTTGGTTACAGCTCACATGTACTTTTTAACTTGAAACCTACCTCCACTTTCAACAGGCTTACTAACAATTCTCCATAACTTTTTGATTGAGTATCCGCATCATTAATTATTTGATGTAAAGCCTGAAAACTTGATGCTGTCCTTGCGCACGTGCGACATCCTTTATACGTTATTTTCGTATACCCGGAGCTAATAGGACCACAATTCATTTCTTTCACGCGTATTTATTCTACTCTTTAAAAATGTAAAATTTATTACCGTAGCAAACAAAGATACTTCTTCTTCTTCTCTATTTATACCAAAAACAACTCAATGGAATGACAGTATCTTAATTTTTTCTCTCTTTTGTCGTTAAGGTTAAATTGGGCACTAATTATGTATCTTGTATCTTTTAGTTAACTAGCTCTCACCTGGAAGACGTACCCTTAGAGCCATTTTACTTAGAGTTTTGTATGACTTTCGTCATTGAAAACTTATTTCGAAAAAATAATGGGAAAATAATGGGCAAAGTTGACGTTTGTTTGTCTACAAGCCGGTTTGTTTCTTATATTTTTTGTTTAATTACAATTAAATTTGAAGATGCAGACGATATGCCCGCTCTTATGTCCTTCCTTATTCACCTTAATTGAGACGTCCCTAGCGAAACGTCTGCACCGTACTGGATTTTACACGTTATGGCGCACGCAAAAAATTTTTTCAGGAATCTATATGTAAAAATATATATATACACAATGTACGCTGTTGGTAGACATATAAAATGATTTACTTACAAATTTTTGGGTAGCGTAGGAGGATTTGAATCGTTCCACAAGATACAAGAAACGCTCTCTCAGAATTGTCAAAATTGGCATAAGCAAAATTGCTCAAGCTTTATGTTAGTATTGGTTCTTTAGAGCTGCATTTATAAAATCAAACAAAAATATTAAATTTATGAAAGATACGTACATTTATACATTTATTTTGCTTCAATTGTCTAATTAATACTCTTAACTCTCCAACGCTTGCCTGGAATTGTGTCATCAATCTTGCCATACATCATCACACAATATCGCTATCATTGGTATAGTGGAAAGGAAATAGTAAAAACTCGTCACTCTATTGGATATATTAGTTTTATGGACAAATGGCCTAATTCATTTTACTAAACAAAACAAAACAAAGGGTAAGTAAATAATCAAGTAGTGTTTAGAAGTATGTACATATCAGGAAAGCAAATTTTGTGGGACTTAGAAAAACTCCGCCGTACGCTTCAAGTTCTCTTACGTTATCCGAAACTTTGCAAGTCAGTGATATTATATGTTTGTAAATTAAAATGTATACTTATCGTTACAAATACATTCTTTCAAAAGTTTTGTGTATCACAAGAGGTCATCGAATGCAAACACGATTATACGTATTGCAAGACGAGGAATATTGTTAAGAGATGCATTGGTGTAGTATTACATTCGTTTTTCAAGGTCTATGACGCATTTTAATGGAAGAGCAAATACGATCGAAAAAAAACACGGGGATCAGGAAAACTTTTCCATTGTTTGTGTACCCGTGCACAACTGCTTGCACGCACTATAAAGCGCAAAATCCGGAAAATCAAGATATAACTTCTGCAGCTTGTAACATGTGGTTTTACTAAATTTTCGTTACGAATGCAAGCTTGTGTTGTAGGAATTGCTAAGTTCACTAACGAAAAATAAGGGTCTGACGTTAATCGTTTCGCTACATTTCGTCACATTTTTGTTTTTTTTTTTGACAATGAGAAGAAAAGAGAGAAAGAAAAGAAAACAGAGATGTTTACTGAGGATGTTGAGAAAAATAAAAATTGCCCTTAATATTCTTTGAAATAATGTTAAGAGTTTTAGAAAAGTTAAAATTTTGGAAAATATGTGCAAAATGTGCAACTTGGTAGAGAATTTCTTTTGATTGAAAAGTGAAGAAAATTAATAAAAATCCAAGAAGAGCGATGTTCAAGATTTTGTTGGATTTTTTTTTTTTTTTTGGTATATTGAACGGAGATGGACTAAGCCAATAGATTTGTGGCTTATATGTCCAGATAATAAACTGTTGTAATTTTTAGTCACGATTATGTATAAAACGTAACAAAAAAAAAAAGAGCGGCCTTAATAGATGGAGTGAGCATATTAAATGTAATTCTGTATGTGTGTGTAATTGTGCTTGTTGAGTTCTTGAAAGTTAAACAGTGTTGCAAACTTTGGCTGAAAACGAAAAGGAATGCTATGGTAATAGAAGATGATTGAACGCAAAAACGGAAGAAAAAAAAGGAAAGAAGACGAAAAAAAAAAATTCGAATAGGATAAATTAGCTTTTCTAATAAAGCAAGTTAGTTCCCCGAGTTGACGTACATTTTTTGCTGCAAAGAGATCGAGGAGACAGCCATATAAGTTGAAGAAGCTAAAGGAATCTCTAATGCCATCAAGCCTGTGACATCTGAAGATTAGATGCTCAGCAGACTCAACAACATTGCAAACTTCACAAACATCACATAGTATAGCACGAATCATTTTTAAATAAACTTTGTCATAAGTATGACCACTCATGAGTCTATAAAGAATTTTGATTTCCCAGGAATTAAAAGGAGATACAGAAAAGGATTTAAATTGAAATGTGGGATTTAATTTATAGAAACGACGATTGGATTTAACGCGCGCGATTTCTTTAAATTCGTCGTTTAGCTGTTGAAGGATGTGGTTGCGAATTGCCCGAATTGCTTCATTGGGAGTGTATTTGATGGACAAAATTGTCCCATCAACACGAGCTCTCCCTGCATGAAAGTCGGTTTTTACAATTAAAAAAAAAAGCCGCAGTGGCCAGGTACCCAAACGAGGGGACAGTCATCCACTTGAGATTCGTGCAACATCTTGTGAATATCAAACACATATTGATTTTCTGCATCTCTTTTATTTATTAGAAGTAGAGCTGACTTGCTGTCAGAAAAAATAACAAACCTTCTGATACCATCGGAGATAGCAACCTTAATAGCATGTGAAATGGCGAACAACTCAATAAAAGTCGACGAAAGTTCCACTTTAACTCGATGTAGTGTTTCAGATAGATGTTTCACGACCGAGAAGCCAGATACATTATGTCCGACGGAACCGTCAGTGGCATATATATCGTAGCCGTTGTTGTAATAAAAAATGAGCTTTTCTTGGCATAACCTCATACAAGAGAAGTTGACATTATGTTTTGAGGTAGAGATCGATTCGAGAATGTTCATGAAGACTCTGTATTTGCTGGTTATGAAATTCAAGGGAGGAATTGAATCTAACTTATCAAAAATATGACGAAGTTTTTGATAGCAAAAAGTGTAGCTGCAAGTGACAGTATCACTGAGAGATATAATTTCCTGAAAAAAGAAAGGATTTATCATCTTGACTTTAATTGACTCTTTGGCAAAAAAGGGCTCTTTCGGAAACCGGCCATTCACCAGATATGACATTGAGAATATGTTGAGGAGTTGAGGGGCTCAGTCCAGTACAACGCTTCAACATTCGGTTTTCAAATGCTTGTATACGTTTCTCAATATGTTTTGGGAAATTGCAACATGTGGAATGTCCAAATTCAATTTTGGACCTGACTAGAGATTTGTAAACGGTCAAAGCATTTTTGGGAGGCAAGCCTGCCTGATTGTTTGTCATGAGTTTGATGACGTTGTATTCAGACTGGCAATCTTTGAACGCCTTTTCGTAATGCCCATGAAGGGTTAAGCTGTCATTTAAAATTCTCCCAAGAAATCGAAGAGATTTTACCTGATTAACTTGGGTACCTTTGATAAGAAGTCTGATTTCACGTTTAGAACCTTTGGCAAAATAAATAGTGTTTGTCTTGCTGGGTTTAAAATATAAATTAAGATTAGCGCATGCATCGAAAAACAAGTTCGCTTTCATCGAGAGGTTATTGACAGCTGCTGGAAAAGATGAGTCCGCAGATACGATTAGAAAATCATCTGCATATTGAAAAATGTGAGTTTTGTCATCTTGAAGATCATGCAAAGAAGCTGCGTATAAATTGAAGAGTGTGGGGCTTAAACAACTGCCTTGTGGGATACCACCGCATATTTCAACTTTTTCGGTACCCATCACCAACACACGCTTGGATAAAAAATTAAGTATCCACAGCTGCATTTGAAGGGGAATCAAAAGGTTTAAGAGAATTCTACCAAGCTTAATCAAGTTGACACAGTCATAGGCTTTGCTGATGTCCAGGGAAAGCATGATAACCATATTGCCTGCTTTTTTTAGGTGGCTATGAGAAAACACAGTTCATTAACGCATATATTCGTAGGTTTGCGTTTTTGATAGGCGTAAGAACGAGCTGAAATAATGTTCTCAGTTTTCAGGAAATCAGTTAGTCTCTCCTTAACCACGAGGTTGATAGTCTTTATGAATATAGATATCAGTGAAATTGGTCTGAAGTTACTTAAATCATTTAAGTCTTTACCTGCCTTAGGAATGGGAACTATTTTGATGCATCGCAAATCTGAGTGTATGAAGTTGATGGACCAGCAGTTGTTAATTGCATCCAAGAGAATGCTAAAGCTTCCTCCAGACAGTACTCTGAGCTTGTCATACTTGACTCCATCACAATCTGCAGCAGTACCTCTCTTTCTGGAATGTAAAACATACATTAGCTCATGCACTGAAAAGGGTGTGTTGCTGAGACTACTAAAAGAAATTGAAGTTATTGTAATCGGATTGACACTTGGAATGTAGCTCTTGAGCATATCCAAGTATTTTTATGGTTAATCCATACAGAACAACCGCTTAATTTTCGACTAGCATGTCGATGACCATTGATATAATTCCAGAGAGAACGTAGGTTGCCGTTACCACAACTCTTTAATCGCGATAGCTCTATGTGTTCTTTTCGCCTTTCTAACTGCAGACCTCCATTCTTTCAGTGTTTTCATATATTCAATGTAGTTGGCTGGATTGGCATACTTAATCATTTTTTTTCTTGCGGCTTGGTATTTGCCGAAAAGTGTTGACAGGGAAGAGTTCCACCAAGGTTTTGGTGAGAAGGACTCAATGTCAGAAAAGTTGGTTCTAGCAGACCTGATCACAGACTTTTGAATTAATGATAAATCAGAAGGAAGATCAACTTTAGACAGACATAAGGAAGTTGCGTGAAATGAAATTATCTATTTTCTTAACGGAATTGTTACAACTGTGGAATAAAATAGGAGAGTGCTGATCTTTGTCAATGGAAACATTGGACGTGTTCCAGTTGAAAGATAAAATAGTTGAATTCGAGAAAGTTAGATCCAAGACACTGCTCGCCGTGCGACCGCTCCGGTTACAGTGAAAGATAGTATTGCCATTATTTAAAACACTGAAACTGCTGGAGTTGATGGCATTTACAAGGATCTTGCCTTTGTTGGTCGAGACTTGATCGCCATACAGGCGATGTCTTGCATTAGAATCTCCAGCTATAATCACATTTTGGTCACCGTCAAGAAAGTCGCATAATCTCTGAATCTCATCACGAAAGGTTTGCACATCGAGACTGGGTGGAAAGTAGCATGAGGCTATGAAAAGATTCGGTTTCAGTTTGATGGTTTTGATGATGATGATGTCAACGGCAGAGTTATAGGGAATACGTCTGAAATTGACACCTTTCTTAACTAATATACTAACACCACCATAGCCATCATTTCGGCATTTGGTGGCTGAAACATAATTCGAAACTTTAACTTCAAAACAATTTTCATTTTTCAGAAAAACTTCACTTAAGATGCAGAAATCCATCTTGTTTGAGTTTAAGTAAAAATCCAGAAAAGATAGGTTACGTCGGGCACTTTGAATATTATATTGTAAAAAGGATATCATGTTGAAACTTGAGAAAGAACCTCAGCGGATTTCCTCGTAGTACTTGGTGCTTGAACGGTGCAAGAAATGGCACAGACAGACATTTTTTCTTCAAATTCTTTAATAAGATTATGAGGGATCATCGGACGGATACTTTCTTGAATCGCGAGAATTAATCTTTCAAGTTCTGAGGACCGCAAATAGTTGTTTAAAATTTTCGGTCCAAGAAGGCTTGTTCCAGACGACTTGGGGGTGTATTGGGAGAAGGCTTGGTGGGTGAATTGATAAGAGATTTGGAAGGAACCAATTTCCTTTTGACGACAGCATTGTGTTTATTTTTGGTTAAGATTTTGTTGGCATTTTGATTATCAACCTTGGCCAAATTGCAGACGTGTTCGCCAGTGGAGGTTAATTAGGGCAACACTTATTGAGAGCGTTGTGCTCACCTGAGCCACAGGACAAGCACTTCATCGCCTCACAATTTACACACTTCGGAGACTTTCCATAGTTAAGGCACCTGCTCTCTTTAGCTTTGAAGCCAATTTTGATGCTGGTTGTGGGAATTCACTCGTCTTTGTTGTTGGGATTTCTTCTTTGGAAACGGACGGCGGACTTAATCGGAATATCGGATATGGCGTTTTTAATTATATCATCGACACTGTATGTTCGTGGGATGTTTGGAATGACTCCCAATCTCTCAGTGAACGACCTCGGTATGTACGCTTTTCAATTCTTTTTATTAAATTCATTATTCATAACAAAATTGTTGGCATTGGCAGCGGAGCTGAAAAGCAAATTGTCTATACCCCTGCTGACAACTTTTAATTCTTTTAAGCCATACATACTGAAATCCTTCAAGTAATCATAGAAATAGAGATTGGAGTTAATATTGATGCGATTTCCTTCTGCGTCCGCGCACGTTTCGACAAAAACGACAAAATTGCAGTTGGAAAGGCAATCGTACAAATTAGTCTCGAGATTTGTGGCGGCTGTGGCACCCAAATCAGAGGGCTTCTCGGTAGCCTGTTTACTAGGCGCAATTAAAGCGTTTGCGTCAGCGTTTCCGTTAGCAGATAAAAGAATATTATTCTTACCCATTTTCGATCTCTTGGTGTGCCCAGTGGCGTTCATGTAAAAATTTTCAAAACAGTCTCTATTAGTAGTTATAAGATCAGATCCAGTCTCCATAGGAAGACGGGCTGATGTTGTTTTGATTGTTATCATGGGGAACACAAAAAGAAAAAAATCACAAAGAAAAAACGAAAAATAATAATTGAATATACCTATTGCTTCTTAATTTTTCTCTCACGAGAGATTCTTCTCCCTTCCCTCCTTTTCTTGCTTTAAAATTGTTTTCTTTGGTTATTTTATTACTTTATTAAATCTCTTTTCCTTTTTTCAAATATTTATATTCTCTTCTTTTTTTTTTTCCTTTTTTTCACTAACACCGGTAAACACAAAAATTATCCAGCTGCCGTTTGCAGAGATGGCGTGTTGTATCAAGTGTGAATGAAATGCGAATGTGTTGGAACATTGAAGAAGACAAAAAGACGCAGGATTGCGTTTTTAACAGAAGGAAAAAGTAAAATAAATGTTCAGTCTGATTTTTGTTGATTTCATATAACGAGTAATGATAATGTATAAAAATGAGATAAAGACCAAAAAGTTCGCTGTTTTATCTGTTGATTGGTGTTGTTAAAAGTGTTCCGAAAAAGGGCGCGACTAATATTTAGGCAGTTCTAGGAAAAGTTGGAAGACAAATTAAAACCATGAAAAAATAATGTAAGAAAAAACAGAATGGAAACAGATATTTTAAATTTGTGTCAAAGAAAGAATGGAGAACTTATTTCCGAAAATGTGAAAAAAATACAAAGAAGAGGACAAAAATGATGGAAATTATTATCTTTTTATGTCAAGGGAAAAAAAAGGAAGAGGATTGACGAGCACTTCAGCACTGGATACGGAAAAAAAAAAGAAAATTTGATAATTAATTTTGCTTAAAATCGTCTTTTGTGCTAATAAAAAAAAAATAAAAAAAAAAATTATATGCATAAGTTTTTATTTATGCAAAAAATTTACTGCGACAACTGTCTTTAAGTAGATTCTAAAATTAAGTGAGATATATTTGCCTGGAAGCTGCTATAACAAACAAATCCATAAGAAAGAAGAAGAAAGTCATATTCAACTCCAACGGAATCCTATATTACTCTTCACGTTTATGAGCATTGTATGTCGCATCGTATATATCACGGTGATTAAGAGCATTTCCGGATCTGTCAGAGAAACTATAAACGTTTATGCGATTGTAGACAAGCTTCGAGTTTTTTTTTTTTTTCTGAAAGAAAAATTTAACGTCTAAATTGCAAATCTAATTAATTGTTAATTTTTTATAGAAGCACGAATGTACATTCGGCGTGACTAGGTGAGTTGTAATTTGTATTGCTAATATTAGATTATAATTCTTAATTTTACGTAATCGTAGTTTTGAGTCTGTTACACAATTGTCATAAAAATGTTTAAACATTTATAATAATAACACAATAATAAAATGTTTGTAAACTAATTTTGTTGTTATGATACTGGCTGGCGAAGTAAGTGTACACTTAACACACTCACATACACTGCACATCCACTTACATCTTATAAAAATTATAAAGATTCTATAGGTCAAAATTTCATTTATGAACCCCCCCAATTTCGGCGAGCTAGACTCATTTCGATAAAAGCCTTTTAAGTATGCTATAGTATGCTACAGCTGTACTATTATCCTTTATGTTATATTGATATGTAATATTATTTTATACTATCGTCTTACACTTCTATTTTAATTAGTATTACATTTTATGTTGTTATTCAATATAATATCATACTAATATTTTATAATATTAAGTTACCACTTACCGCTTATTACGTAAAGATTATATTTCATTTTATTATTTTGTATTAACATTATATTATTATTTAACATAATATTGTATTATTAGTCTATATTTCTATATTTATTATTAGTTTTTATTATATTCTTGTTTAATAACGTTATCCCTTTCGTTCATATTCATACATATTATAGTTATTATGTTTTTAATTCTATTTCGTGCCGGCACGAAAAGTTAATGTAGTGTTCTCATTAGTCTTATATGTATTTTAAATGCACAATTTAGGTATATAAATATAAACTAATTGGCCAAATTCTAATTAAACGTATCTCTCGCTTTTATACTACTGCCAGACTTGCATATTTTTATAAAGTTTGCTCGCGAACAAATAAAGGCAGATTAATGATTTATTTACTACTCTGTATATTTATATGCAGTTGAAGAAAATTGTAGGACTAGCAGTCCAATAAAACCGATATTCATTCCACAAAAGCGTTACGTTTGTTTACGTAAGCGTTAATAAACTGAACCATTTTTTCTAAAAGTAATGTTTTAAAGTAAAAACTGAAAAATGAAAGAAAACGTGATTCTTTAGAAATAGAAAAAAAATTTAGTTATTTTTAGTAATTTCCA